CACAGGGACCCGAGTTCAATCCCTAGTACAAAAAAAAAAAATCTATAACTGCTCTGTTAAGACAATAAAAAGACAAGCAACAAACTGGGAGGAAGTAATTATGCCCCCCTTATCCACAGGGGATACATTCCAAGGCCCCAGTGGGTTCCTGATACCCTGGGTAACACCAAACTCTACACTGATGGTTTTCCTCTATACATATGATAAAGTTGAATTTACAAATTAGACACATGAAGAGATTAATAATAACTAACAACTACATATAAAATTATAACTATATACTATAATAAAAGTTAAGTGAATGTTGTATGTGTCTCAAAAATATTGTACTGTAGATCTGAAGAACCTCAGCATATAACTTTTTTTTCTTAATGTCAAGAACTTGCATCTTTTCACTTAATAGAACTACTTTCTGCCTTCTCTTTGCCATATTCCAATGGCCAGCATAACTTCTCTTGCACTTTGGAGTCATTTCTACAAGTAAGGTTTACTTGAACACAAGTTTTCGGGACTATGACAGTCTGTATGACATTTGAGACAGCTACAAAGTGAATACTAGATGGGCAGCATATATAGAATGAATGTGCTGGACAAAAGAATGAGCCGTGTCCCAAGGACAGAGCGTAATGGCTTGAGATTCCACCATTCTACTCAGAAGGGCATGAAATTTAAAATTTACCAAATGTTTATTTAAGGTTTTTTTTCCATTTCACATTTTCAGGTTGCATTTGACACAGATAATGGAAACTGCAAGAAGCAAAACTTTGGATGGGGGATACTACTGTATTTACAAAACATGCATCTGGCATATATAGCACACATGCCCAAAATATACAAAGAACTCTTAAAATTCAACAGAAATGCATACTACCCAGTTTTCAAATGTGCAAATAATCTGCAGAGGTACTGCTCCAAAGAAGATGCCACTGTAGATGGCAACGGTATATGAAAAGATGCTCAAGACACATGGCATTAAGGAACCACAAACTGAAACAGATGGGTTACCTATTAGAAAGACTAAATTAAAAAAAAAAAACTGATGATACCAAAAGGAGACAAGGATTCAGGAGGGCAAAAGGAGGTGTCATTCATTGCAGGTATGAATGTAAAATGGTATATTCATTTTATTGTATTGTTAGTTGGATGGTTTTTTGTTTTGGGGTTTGTTTGGTTTTTGGTTTTTGGTTTTTGTTTTGTTTTTTTTTGTTTTGTTTTTTTGTTTTTTTGGGGTTTTTTTTGAGACAGGGTCTCCCTGTATAATCCAAGCTGGGCTTGAACTTGCTGGCCTCCTCTTCCCTCAACCTCCTAGAGCTAGAATTATGGGTGTATGCCACCATGCTCAACAGCACAGTTATTTTAGAAGGCAGTATGGCAGTTTCTTATAAAGTTAGCTATGGTTTTGTCATATGATCCAGAAACCCTGCTCCTAGGTATTTGTTGCCTTTGAGTTAAAAGCTTATGTTCACACAAAAACCTTCATAGTCACAAAAACTGGAAGTAGCCACAGTGTCATGCCATAGGTGAATGGGTAAAGAAACTGGTAGTCTGGACAGACAATGGGATATTATTCAATGATAAGAAATTAGGGGATTTAGCTCAGTGGTTCTGCTGCCTGTCTTATAAGCGCAAAGACCTGAGTTTGATCTCTGGGACAAGAAAGAGGGTGGGGGAGAGACTGAGGGAGAAAAAGGAAGGAAGGAAGGAAGGAAGGAAGGAAGGAAGGAAGGAAGGAAGGAAGGAAGGAAGAAGCTATCAAGCCACAAAAATCAATGAAAGAGCCTTAAAAGCATACTGCTAAGGAAAGAAGCCACAGGAAAAGGCTATACATTTTGTACTACTAACTCTGAGCATTCTGGAAAGATAAAGCTATGGAAATGGTACAAAGTTCAGTGATTTCCAGGGGCACTGGGGAGGAATAGGGAACAAATCTGTGAAGCACAGGCAATGTTTTGAATAAAGAAACTTCTGTATGATACTATGCTGGATGACACATGACACTACACATTTTCCAAATTCCACAGAACTGAACAGAGAGAGGAAATATTGGTGTAAACTATGGATTTTAGTTGAATGTTAATTAATTAATTGTTACAAATATACCATAGGAATACGAGTTGCTAATAACAGGGGAGACTGTGTGGAGCATAGGGGGCATATAGAAATCTCTGACTTAACCACTCAATTGTTCTAAAACAGTTCTTAAAAATGAATAGTATGTATATGTGTGTGTGTGTGTTATTTGAGCAGAAGCTCAGCCCTGTTTCTTTCAATTTATGCAATGAAGCTATGTTTATATGATATAAGCCAGAACAAACCCTCTAAGCAGATAGTTTAGAAAAGATAAAATTATGAAAAAAGTTTTAGTTAGCCCTGGGGCTTATCTTGTCTCCTGATTGCATCCTTTCCTTCTGTGCTTGATCTAATCCGAGTTGTTCTGCTCATCATGTCTCATCCCAGATGCCTGGATGTTAGTCATGTTGCATCTAGGTTTATGTCGGTATACTCTGTGATATTTGAGTCACACATTTCTTGGAAAACACCCTGTTGAGTGGCATATGATTGTATGTGCACCATATTTCTTATCTCTAGAACTTCACGTGTACTCTAGGCTACTTGAATGAGAAAGAGAAAAGCTTTGCAGCGGTTCCCCTTTCATGGTGCTGTGCAAAAATAATAATGGCCCAGGTCACACCTCACAGTGGAGGAGCTCAGGGGACTGAGCACAGTGCTACGGAGCAGCAGGTCGGGTTGCTCTTCATTGAAGGCCAGTCTTTAGCCATACTCTGCATCTGGAAAGAGATGGGACCCTGCCCTTTGTGTCCTTTTATCTCACATGTGGGGAGTTCTTGGTCACAAAAGGAGCAATTCAAAATAATTTTCAGTCACTTGATGAATAACCCCTTCCACTGGTGGTGATATTGCATTTTTAGATGTATCTTGAACGAACAATCTTGATAAGATGTGTATAAACAGGATAATTTGACTGGTGTGTGCATATGTGTCCTTGCTTACAAATGTCTCATGTAAACTTCCAGGAAAACTGAGAATCCTGACCCAGGTCCTCACCCATTTCTATTCATGTTAAACTCTGGAAACGCATAGAGTCTACTTGCTTACTCAAAGAACCTCATGGAGTTGTCATCGACTGGTGTATCAGCCTATCTTGAAACTTTCTCAGTGAAGGCTGATGGAACATAGATTCCACGTAAGTGGAAGTGTTGGACCACCTCAAAAAGAAATGAATACATGCTCTTTTGGAGATATTTTATTTTTATAAACATTTTCTTTGTATTCATGAATTCAAAGAGCTCAGGAAGTGTGTAAAGTTCAGGTGTTACAGGAATTTTCTGGTTCAAGGGGGCAATAAAATAGCACACCTATGAGTTCAAGTACCATCTTAGCTTTGTGTATCTTTGAGAAATGATGTACCAAGTAGAAAAATAATGAGATACACTGCATCTTGGGGTATAGCTCAGTGGTAGAGCACTTACCCAGTGTATTCAGTCTCTGGCATTACTGACCCCCAAGAAAACATTAAAAAACAAATAGGACTATTCCAATGTTATACTGAACTCATACACTGCTCAAACCAAATATTTTTCTATTAAAATTTGTTCAAGAATCATAGAAGCCTGGAAATAAACTACAGTTTCAATTATTATATCAGGAAAAATTAAATGAAACCAATTAGAGAAGGAACTTACAAAAAAGAAAGATTAAATTGTACTGTCCTCTAAGTTTTACAAAGATATTTTTCACTGACCTTTTAAGAGTTGATGAGTTTCCAATATAAAACAATTATTTTCTTTTTATTCTATGAAAGAATTGTCTGGGATTCAGAAATGCATGTATTCTGGATCTCAGTGAAGATGCAACTTATTCATATATATATATATATATATATATATATATGTATGTATATATATATGTATTACTGAAAATAAAATAACTTTACTGTTTTGAATCTGACAGTTTAAGGAAAAATAGTAAGAAAATTAGAAATTTCTAAATAATGTGCAATAAATTTAATTTTAAAATATGGACAATAAGACTAAAGAGGTAATTTTTTTCAGTTAAAAGTCCAAACTATGTCTCTGGGAGAAGCTGGAAAAACTAGGAACACAGCTGTGGAGTAATCACAAAGCACGTGCTTTCCTCTACATAGTTGTTTTCTTTTGTAAATTTTAAAATGCTCAAGAAATATTTGTGGCTTATGCCTAGGAACTAGACATTTTAAGGTTGTATTTTCAGAGTCCCCAGTTCAGATCAAAACTAAGATTAAGCTTCTGCCCAAGGTAGCAGATATCTGTCTCCCGACGAACGGCTGCTTTTCTCCTCCTTAACTTAATTTAATGAAAACACCACTATTTCATTGGCAGTCAAATGGTAATAATTTACACTTCAGGAAAAATAGTTCACTTAAAATCCTTAAAGATTTGTCCCACTGAAAACAAGAATTTAAAATACTACGCTGTCCCTCTGGCAATGTAGCCTAGATGTTTTGGGGGAAAGTTCTAGCAATTTAATATGGCTGTTTAGCTTTTGTGAATACTTGATACACACTCTTCCTAGGAAATTCTGATTTGTATCAACCAAAAGGCAATTAAGGGCTGTCATTTGGCCTGACCCCGGTCCATCAGGGATTTTATCACCCAAGGAACGTCCACAACAGCACTGTCCCTGCCAGCTGGGGACAGATAACAGAAACTGTCCTGTGTGGGGCACAATAGACTAATGTGATTAGAAATCAGGAGAACTCTGGCTTCTCTTGAGCTGAATTATAGCTCTCCTAAGTCCCACGGCGCTGAATGATGTCATGGGATCTGCAGTTCAGCAAGATGAAAGGGATAAAGCAGAGCCCGCTGGCGCTAGGAAAAGCTTCCAGCACACAACCCACAACACAGCTTGGGAACGGGGAGAACTGTGGATCCAGCCCCTCAGTCCCAGCATGGAGGAGCCACCGGCAGTGCCCCATGCAAAAAAAAAAAAAAATCCAAAAAAAAAAAAAAAAAAAAAAAAAAAATCAGAGGAAAACAACGTGATCTACATTTAACAAAAGAATGAGTGGCCTGGGAGGTGGGAGGGCAGCTACCTACCTGCTGAAAGTGAACTTTCTGGATATCCTTGCATATATATAAGCTCAGTCCTGCCTTTGATGTTCAGCAACCGATCACTGATCAGATTACAGGCATTTCATCTCCCTGCTCGTCTGCCTTTGATCTGCATGGTTAATTTCATTTTCCTGGATTTGAAGTTTCGTCTGGGCTTGTGCTGACACACATTTTTGGGAGGTGGAAGCATTTGGCACAGAAGTGCTGCCAAGGAGAGACTAAGCTGCCGAAGGGTGAGTTCTGGGAAGGTCTGGCAGTTGCAGGTACTGCATTTTGTGTTTTGTTGTAGCTTTCACTGTGTTTTTCACATGTGTCCTGAGAAAACAATGATTTTAACCATTTAAGAGCAGACATTTCTGTAGCTGAATACTACACTGAACCGCATGTGTGGATCAGAGTAAATTTAATACTTGGTGCAATTGTTTAGTCGTTTATACAAAAGGGCTTGCAATCTGTCATGCAAGTTTTACTAGGAAATAAGTTGTTCAAACAGGACAAAAAGGAACAGTGCTAGCTTTTAGCATGCAGCCAGTGTTTCAGCCTCAGATCTAAGCACTATAATTGCTTGAAGTATTCACAGGTTACTTTATTTAGCACACAGTCACTTGAACTGTGCTTCTTTAAAATGCATTCCTTGTTTTCTCGGTTAAAAAAGCAAAATGCATCTCTGGTAACCCCACTTCTATAGTTTGTTTATTCTCTCACCTCCAAGATGTAAATCTATCAAATACATTTCCTCATGCTATTTGTATACACAGGGGAATCTCTGAAAAGCCATTTAAGTATTACAACCTTTATGTGTAAAACTGAAGAATCTGAAAACTGAGAGAGTGAAGTTGCAATAGATTTGGCTAAAAATACCTAGCAATTTTCTGTAATTTTTGGACGTCCAAGTCTTGTTTACAGAAATGTTCACATGGTTAATATTCCTAAATTAACATTTACTTTCAATTTGTAGTGACAGCTGTTGTAAGTTACTATTTGCCAACTGTTTATGAAAACTATTTGAGTAATCAACAGTTATGATATTACAGAAAGTAATTTACTCACATTTTCACTTTAGTTAATGCCCTTAAAACCAAATTATATTGCTGCACTGCATTTGAAAGTTAACTGTTATTTCTTTGTAGTTCAGTAATAGTTCCCACCTACACACACACACACACACACACACACACACAAACACACACACAATAAAACACTTTACTTTGAAATGCAAGAGCACAATACAATGGAAAGGGTGCACTCTGTGTCCACACTGTATTTTTGTTCTTAGTCTTAAGTTTATTTGAGCAAGATATTTAATTATCATCACAATAGTCTTGTTTTATGCTAGCTAAAACAGGGAGAAATGATAAATGATAAGACCAATTTTGCCTGACTCTGAAATTCTAATGAAACAGGAAACATATAATGAGTCTCATTTCGTATGTAATTAATTTTTCCAGAGCCAATTAATTAAATTACTTTCTAAACTTTCTTCTTGATATTAGGAGGGTAATTAGCAATGTTTGCTTAGTGTTAAAGCTCTGATGGTTAAGTGAAGATTATTTAGAACCATTCTAGACTGACTATATTTTTCAAGTGTCAGTAAGAATTTTATCTAAAAGATTTAAGTTGTTTATAGTCATGCCAGGAGAGCATTTAATTTTTTTCTACTAATAATGCAACAGATCATGTTTATAATATCATGATGTTTATATTTTTGGCTAAAAGGTCCTCTTTCAATCAGAAAATCAACATTAGTGTTCATATTCAGAGAAGAAAAAATAGCTTTTAAAGTAATGTCCAGAAATGGTGCCTAAAAAAACAACATGCTTTGGAACTTGTTCATTTAATACATATTCAGTATTTTGCATTTTTTAAATGACTGTTCTGCTTCTAGGTTCATTTTAACAAATAGACTCTCTGAGGAGCACAAAACAAAGGAGAGAATTAGCAATTATCTGATTAATTTAGACTTTGCAGAAAACTAGCTTGGGCAAGTCAAGTCCTTGAAAATCCACTTCAGTTTCTGAATTAATTCAGTTAATTGTTTACTTCTTGTGCCTTTGTTGAGAAATGAAACCGAGTGCATTTCATTTTAAGAGAAAGATGACTATGGCTAAAGAAATAGGTACGGTCTCAAAGGCATTTCTTAATTAATTGCCTCAAGATGACCCTGATTGTGATTTGGTAGATTATACCCCATAATACTTCGACTGAACAAAATGCTTATATTACATTTTTTCAAAGCAGTTCCCTATCTATTGCTTCAGTGGCAGCTTTGTTATGGCAGAAAGGCCAGCTCTTCAAAGGACAAGTTTCTAGTCCTGATTCTGTCACTGATTAGCTATGTGACCTTAAGGGAGTCACTGCACTACTCAGCTTTCATATGTGTAACTTGAGGGGGGCGACCAGATCATTTTCATGAAATAAGCATCACTGGAATTTTTACAGCCATTGTACAGATGTGGAAACTGAGACGAAAGAACAGTAACTTGGCTCCGCTAATCGAGGTTTCACGGCTGATATTTCTGAGCACTTCCCTAGTGTTCTTTCCAGTTTACCATACAGTCTATTTTCTAACAATTGCTAAGACAAATGTCCATTGGAGAGGGTCAGAGAACAATGCTGGTTTGAAAGATAAAGATAGCCATTTCCTATTGCTGTCTCTTCTTTCATTTCCCAGATAGATATGTTGGTCAACTGGATGGGTCTGCTTGTTTCCCAACTATTCCTCTGTGTTTATATTTTAAGTTGTCTAAATGTAATAATTACTGCCACACATAATTTACTATGACATTTAAAAATTTTTCAAAACACATTGAATGCAGCAATGCCTTGTGAAATTGTATGTGTGCATGTCTTTATATGTATATACAGGAGTTGGCATTATATAAGCACATCTTCATGTATTTTAAAGAAATAATATTTTCTTAGGAGGTGCCAGTGGGAACTGTGAAAAGTTAAATCGTTGATTAAAAGTTATTATTCCTTCTCAATGGAGATTTACAGTGGGATTTTGTGAAATTTTTTCTGTTTGTTATTTTGATATGGTTTCATTTATGACATGTGTTACAATGCCATATTTGATTATATCAAGAATTCTTGAATGCATCATTAACTCTTCTTTTTTCTTGGAAAAATATTTCATGTAAAAAAATTTTAGTTTACTTATCGCTTAAATTTTGCACCTCTATGCTGCTCTGAAGGCCATATAGCTGTCCCTTATTTTTTTTATCACCCATAAAGTTTCATATAAATCTTTGAATGCTATTAACATTCGCTAGTATTTATTAATTCACTATTTAATTCAGTAATTATTCATTAATTTAATATGCATTAGTACTTCTGATTCAGGTATGCTAACAATATGTTTTTAAATACTACGTCACTTAAATTTACAGCTAATAAGCTTGTCACCCCACATGATTTAGATGGGGAACCTGAGCCTCAGAGAAGTTGAACCTATGCAGTGTCACAGGTCACATTATGGGCAGCACTAGAGTCTGATTCCTAATCTTGCAAAGCAGTTCATTTTGTCTATTACAAGAACTGCATAGAGTTGAATTGGACTGTCAGCAAACATAACCAAAATTCTGCCAAATGGACTTTGTATTTTTCCTTCATTTGATATATTTTATAAGAATGATCAGACATTTTTGGTGGCCTAGAATTTTAAGCCAGAAAGGACCTCAAGACAGAACACACGCATCCTCTGCCTTAGCACTGGGCTGAACACAAGCGCTTGCTGTTGGAGGTTGTCAGAGCTCAGTCCTTGTGAGAGCGGTACCAGTCCAAGTCATCCCAGGAAAGCTAAATGTGTGTTTCCCTTTAAGGAGGGATTCTGTAGAGTCAGGTGTGGTGGTGCATGCCTGTAATCTCAGCACTCTGTGAAGCTGAGGCGAGAGGATCCAAAGTTCCAGCCCATCCTGGGCAACTTAGTGACTTACCCAGAGCCTGTCTCAAATTAAAAAATTAAAAAGGGCTGAGGATTTAACTCATTGCAGAGGTCTTGGATTCAATCCTTGGTATTGGTAGGAAAAACAATTGATCTGTAACATTGTGTGGGCCTGATTGAAAGGGCCACTGGGATCTGTGAAGAGAGTGAGGGGCTGTCAGTTGGCTGTGTGTCCCATCTCCTGCACTGCACAGACCCTGTAGCACTGCCTCTGAGGTTGTCCCTGCACAGCCCCACACTTTCTGAAATCAAGACTTAAAGCTTGGATGGAGAAGGTAGTTTAACACCATCCATGGTGACTTCAATCTGTTCTTTGATAAAGGAAAGAGAGCTTAGGTGAGGACAAAGTGACTTTGTACAACCATTCTTTCCAACATAAACCACTCTGTTTGAGAAGCTTTCTGATAGGTACACTTTTCTCCATCCTGTTCAGTGTCCACTGTTCTTCAGTAGCCTGACAGTGCAGGCTGCCGCCCAGCCAGCCCACTCCTTACCTAGCTCTGTGTGAAGTGGTCCACCATCTTGACAGCAAAAGAGAGCAGCATGTCAAACATGGTCTCTTCACTCATGAAACTCATGCAAATCATCTGACCATCGGGACACTCAAGCCAACATGTCATGAACAGACATAGATCAGTGCAGGGGCTATACTTTCCACCTTTTCTCTATCAAAGTTTGACATTATGTGGACTAAATAGTCTCTTTGGCTTTCCTGAGTACACTGGTTTATGCACCCATGGTATGCTGCAGATTATATTAGGGTTCAGGCAGCCCATATTTTGATTCCAACCTTATTACTGACTTGCCGGGTGACCTTGAACATTCACTTGGTCTTTGTCCTCAATCCTCCGTGGCCCTTTACTGACAGTCTGTAATTGGCAGCAGCATGTGTTGGGAATTACTTAAGTAGCTGGGTCCAATGGCTTTTCCTTTATTTTCATAACTCTTTGGCAAGCATTACTACCTTTAAAAAATAGCACTCCTAATTATTAATTCAATCAACAAACTTTAAATGAGTACCTACTATGTGCCAAGCACTGCAAACTAAACCCATAGAAATCCATATTGTCATATAAATTTGCATTCTATTCCATTTTCACATTTACAGTAGTAGAAATTACTGGAAATCAGGCAATTTTCCACTAGTGATTTCAGTAAACTAGTTTTTCAATGAAAAACACCTTCAGGAAATATGTCATCTCAGTTCAACTTTGGGAAGAAAAATATTCTAAACAAATTCATTTTGTATTAATCAGATGCTGTCAAAAACCAACCTTAAACATAATCTCA